CGTTATGAGTTTTAAGACTATTTAGACTAAACATTTAGTGATTTCTTATTATAATTTGTAGTCATTCTAGAATGAAAAATCATAACTTATTTTTATTTTTAACTTTTATGTTGGGTACAAAGTCGGTCAAATCAACCAAACCCATACAAAGATAAAATAGTGAAAATAACAGACAAAATATAGTTTTTTTCTGAAAAACGTTTGATAATTATCTGGTGGTTATTAGGAGGTTATAAAGATCTTTCGTGTGAAATTTGACAATTTTCTGATGCATAAAAGTATTTTTAATCTTAAAATCAAAATTACATTGCATGTTGGATAGACAACATTCAAAAAGAAAAAAAAATGCTCATGAAAATCATTACTTAAAAAATCTTAAAACTCAAAAAAGAACCTGATATTTTGCATACTAAAGCCTTGTAATGTTTACTGATTATCTGCAAAATTTTATGAAGATATGCTTACTGTATTAAAAGTTATAGTATGAAAACTATAACAAACACAAAATGGTTCCGAAGTCAGTCCCTGAGACCAAGCCCATAGTGAGAGAGTTAATAGATTACAATCAGTTACTTAGTTACTTTTATAAGATAGCTAAAAAAAGAAAACAGAAAAGTAATCTACTATTCTCTAATGGCATGGCTAAAAAAACAAAACAAAAATTGAGTTTATATAGCCCATTGTGTAGCTTTGTGCTTAACAACAAACAAACACAACAGCAATATTTTGATTATTGGATAATTGGAATAATCAGAAATCTTAATTTTGTATAGTAATTAGTTTTCTGAGTCATGACACTAATCAATTAAAATAAGCAATCTTGAGTTAAATGAAAACAATAATGGAAAATCACCACGACAATATTTCAATTACTGGATTGTTGAAATAATCAAAAACAGTTATGATTGGAAACACCAGTTGAATATTTTCACAAAATTAATGAACTTGATCATCATTTTGATTAATCAGTAATTTTACACGATGCTAATCAATGAAATCAAAGCTCAAAAGTAATTGATTATATCGATTAACTGAGTTAATCATCCAGCTCTATTACTAAGCCTAATATATATAAAAAAAACAAAAAACAGGATGAATAATTCACAGCACAACTTCTGCTCGTTTTAGATCACAGGCATGAAGATGCATATGCCACAGCCCAGCAAAAAGTTTTAAATACTATCAAAATGTACCACGGAAGTTCAGAAAAAAAACATGATGCATCAGTGACACCCATAATGTTAGCTCAAGTAACAGTAACTAATGTAACCAGAGAGAAAAGTGAATAGTTAGCTATGTTTCTCAAAACCAAAGAATAAAAGTAGAACATGTAAAACCCAAGGAAGTTTCTGATTAGAAAGTATAACAAGCTGTAAGAAAAATCAATTATACAGTAACTACTACTTTTATTTTTTTTATACACAGTGCACTAATAAAGTTCCCCTTCATATACTGGTATGGTGTATAATAAGCCTTGGGTTTTGATATAAAAAAATCATTTTTTAGTTTGTTATACATATCTAATTATGCCAACACTTCTTTTAAATTTTTTGAAAATTAAACTTCAGGTTGCCAAAAGATAAGAAAATAAAACCTTATTACATGTACAAACACTTACTTGAACGGTTCCTCGATCCCCGATAACTTTTTTCTGCTCACCATCTGCTTCACAAGCAAGGCTGTTCAACATATAGATACTAATTTGCTGAACAAATTTATCTTGATAATCCTTGGACACAATACAAAGTAAGACATCCACCAATTTTTCATATTCAAGCATCTGTAGAGCATTTAAACACTGGTTAGAATCATGTTAGGGTATAAATATCTTAATACATACAAGAAATAAATATGAATTCTTAAAACTATTCTAAGAAAAACAATAAAATTCAAACACAATAAAAACCTTCTAGTGCATTTGGTTTGTTAGTCTATAAAAAAAGAACAAAAAAGTTGAATAACGGTAAAACAGACAAATTACAAATACAATTATCTACAGAAAATTCTCTAACACCATGTGTGTATGTGTGGTGAATATATATTTTAAAGAAACATCACAGTCTAGCTTTACCTGGGTATGTTCTAAATAAAATGATATACATTTTCCATATGGTTATTACTGCTTCAAACTTCATTTGTGAAAACTACATATGCTTTTACATTAGTTACAGAGATTCATTATAAATTCTTATTTCTAACTTTACTATCATACATAAAATGTGATTCATCAACACTTACCATATCTTGAGAAATTTTAAAATGAATAAGCGTCAAACAGCTATTTCGTAGCATCTGCAAAACAGTAAAACAGAATGTTCAGATGAATAAAAGCAAATTCACAGTCAAGTGTAATTAAAAACAAATATTTTATTTAGCGTTATGGAAACAGTATTTACTCTAACAATTGAAAACATACTTCATTTGTTTGTTTTTAGAATTCTGTCTAAAGCTACTCAATGGCTATCTAAGCTATCCGTCCCTAATTTAAAAGTGATAAGCAAGAAGGAAGGTAGCTAGTCAACACCACCCACCACCAACTCTTGGGCTACACTTTTACCAACGAAAAGTGGGAATGATCATCACATCACAATACCCCCACAGCTGAACTAACGAGCATGTTCTGTTACAAGATTCAAATTTGCAACCCAAAGATTGTGAGTCAAGCACCTTAACTGCCAGGTCCCAGCTCTTTAAAGACCAGCACTCTTTATAAGAAGTCACATAAACATGAATATTTTACCCATAAAAGAACACTGGTAAAATTCAAAATTATTCAGTTTTGTAGAATATGTTCATTGCATGTTTGTAAGAATAATTATAGTCAAAAATTAGTATTCACTAATTCCACAAAGTATTTTCATGGAATTCTCTGTTCCTTACTTTAACTACTATTTTTTGCAGATACTAGAAAATTTGACTAAAAACAAAATTATATTCTGAAAGAGATAAACTTAAATATATTAAGATATCATGTTGCCAGAATGCTACATTTCTATTAGATAGAGCATGATGCATGACTGGTATGTTATTTACCTTTAAGTGGTTTCATTTAAACATATTTTCTGTAGGTTCAAAATTAGTTGAGGATGTTTATTATAATAAAGTATATAAATGAGTAACCCTTTCTGGGTTGGAGGGGGTGTCACTGATATCCCTTGGTCTTTTCCTTCTCACAGTGAAATACTTAATCACTTTTTGTGAAATTTACATTTGTGTTCTCAAGGGTTGATAATTTCTCAGCAATGGAAAATCTATACTTTGGGATGAGCAGTAAAATTCTAAAAAAACATCTATAAGTGTGTTGTTTACAGGTGAGACTTTTCAGAACTATGCAGAAATGTAAATTTGAGGATTTTTTTTTTTCATTTTTCTTGAAGATTACATTGAATGTTAGAAAATTACAAAAATATCAATTCTAAAATACTTTTGAGTTAAAAAATTGACTAAAAAAAAAGTTAAAATTATCATTTTAAATTAAATTTTTAAATTTGATATACAGGTGTGCACTTGACAACTGAAAGGTGTTCTGTGATTTGTGGCTTGTGTCTTTGATATTTTGAAGTCTGAAAAACTCCATTCAAGAAAAAAAGAGCCAGAAAGAGAGAGAGGCTGGCAAGACATTTCAAGTTAACCTTTTTACAACAAGGCATCTTGTATTTCAAGCAATCAGGGTAAATTGGTAAATTTGATGAAATACTAAAAATTTAATATTTGATTCATATATTGTATATTTTACTGATGAAATGCCCTATAAACCTTGCATCACTGGAATCTGTGTGAAAAACCCTTATTAAAGTATGCTCATATGGTCCTTTGGAATAAAAATAGTAGGCGTACCAAATACATGCATAGGATAAGCAAGAGGTGAAAACAGTTTTACCTTCTGAGCAAACAGATGAAAAAATTGTACTATAGGAGCAGAAAAAAAATGACAAAGAATCTAATTTAGGTAAAGTGCTGGAAACAGAACTACCAAAGGGCTACACTAAGAACTGAAGTACTAAGGTAGAGGACTAATAGTAATTGTCAAAGAGAACAAATTATGTCTTTGGCTTACCCTTGAAAATATCTTTCAAACATAAAAGTTGGAAATGGTTAGAAATCAAAGGTTAATAAACAATAAAATCCTATAGTTTATTTAAACAAAGTTTTATATTAAAAATTAAAGACAGTTCACACTTAAGACCAACTGTCATAAATCCAGCCATTTTAGAATTCATTCATCTTTAGTCTAACAAACTTAAAAATAAGGAGCATTAGAATATTGTGTCTGAAATGCTGCTAGGATCCCAGAAAATGTGTTTAGGAAATATGATTAGCTTACGTTACAAATATATGATTTGTTTATAAACTGAACAAAAATATGTAAGTTATACAACAAAACAGACAGATCAAGTAAGCCACACACACACCTTTTTAAATTTTAATTTTTGACATTTGAATCTGATCAATGAAAGAAACATTCCTTTACTTTTATCTTATTATTAAGCAATTCATCATTGAATATATAACTAATTTCAAGTAAACAGCAAAATGTCATCCAAAAATGGGCAAGATTTTCTATACAGTCCTGTAACTTCTTTTTTTAATCATCTCTAAATGATACTGAGTTGATTTCTCTCTTTATCATCTTAATTCTCCGAAAAATTTCAATAGTCTAAAATTTTCCCATGTTTACAGGTTTTGGCTTGCAATGAAATGTATATTTATTCATTTGTTTTGCAAAATTTTCTTTTGTATATATACATGGGCATGAATATAAAACAGTTCATTTTTAATACTCACAGTTCTGTCATTTTCATATCTGCACATAGCATCCAATAATGTTCTGATAATGTTTCTGGAAAAATGGACATAAGACAGATATGATTAAACAAGTGTAGATTTTGGATTTTAACAAGATTCTATGGATTATCAGGAAAAATAAATACTAATATCTTACAATAAAAGATTGGATTAAACATACATATACGTGAATACAAATATTATGGCTATAATATTTATTGTCTGTGCTGCATATTAAAAAACAAAAGAATTATATTCAAGAAAATCAAGAACAGACTCAGTGAAAAGTAATCATGATATGACACCATTATTTTTATAGCAAACTGAAAGCTTCTTTGTGTTAAATAGAACTGAAATTACTTACATCACACTTTTAGCCAAAGTCTTATTCATGGATACATTATTTAATATTTGCTTTTCAGTGTAATAACAGAATTGTAAACACAAGAAACAAACTATTGTAACAGCAATAACAAACATTAAATTATTAAAATAACATCTGAAAGTAAAGTACATTTTTTAAACTTATTCTAAAAATGGTATTATAAAACATTAAAATGTTAATTTAGAACAAATAGAAGAAAAAGTATATGCAGTATTTATACAAATGGACAAATGAGTTCAGAGAAAAATATGGATCATCATACAATTTGTTTTTCAAAAGATTAGTAGATTGCTAGTATTGTAAATAAATTCCATTTTAATAACTTTGTACAAGTGGGCAACAATAAGTTAACAATATAATTTTCTCACCTTTTGACATAAATGCCAAAATTCAGTTTTTCTTCTCCTCTGACAATGTAGTAGAGTAATGCACTATAAAATTCATTTAAAAAATATAATTTTATTGTTCATAATGGCTAAACAAATTCAAGTTTATTTACATAACTTATTATTTACCATAAAGAATCACACAGTTATATATATTGTAAAAAGATTAGTTCAAGTCAGATGAAAGGCTTAATATGAGAAATATGTAGCAGACAAATGATACATATGGGAAATTAGTTTTACATACTTCTCCTTTGTTAAGTTACCCTTCATATGATACAATTTTTGCATTAGCTCCTATAGGTAATTAGGTATGTACTTTACACTAATAAAATGGCAAAAAAATTTTCATAAACCAGCCTTCTAATTAAGTTTATCTTCTAAATTGATTTTTTCAACTAAACATTAGCAAAAAACACACAAATTAGAAAATATGTCATTAGGAAGGTAACAACCATTAAAACTGACCTTGAAAACAGCAACTGATAAGATTATCTAAAGAGATAACATGAATTACAAAACTATCATCTACTCAATAACAAAAATGTACTACTTTACACTTGTACTTTTGTTTGTAAATAAAAACCATATCCATTGCTTAAAATTTGTGAGAAAAATCATGTTAAGTGCTGATGTTTTTCTCCACATTCCTCTAAATTTTTCCATTTCAGACTCAAAATCAGAGGCATGTCATAAAAATATTTAAGATCTATCTTCCGTCCCACAAGTCAATGCTTTTCATTCAATATGAGAACTTGTCAGTTAAGCTGGACATATACAGTATAATACTTTAACATTTGTGGTTCCAATGCTAAAATCTAGTGACCAACTCTGAGTTTGAGTCTGAAATAGATAAATTAAGAGAAATATTTAAAAATCAAAATCTGCAGTTAACATTATATTTATCATAAATTTTAACATCCATGACTGATAATTTCAAATTAATATCTGAAAAATAAAATTAAGAAAGTTCATACATATAGCTTTTTCAAAAATTAAAAACATTTAACTCTTTCAGCATGGGCTGCCCCTGGGACCGACCTCGTAACCATTTTGTGCTTATTATAGTTTTCATGCTATAACTTTTAAATTAATAAGCAAATGTTAACGAAATTTAGCAGATTATCAGGAAACATTAAAATGCTTCATAT